ATATTCATCTTCTTAATTGTTTGGCTGTTTCTGGATGACAACAACATCAGCAACAGCAACAAAATTACATTTGTAAAGTGCCTTTCACATCGGGAGGACGTCCCAAGGCGCTGAACAGTCAAGGAACAGGACCCGAGCATGGGGAGCAGGGTTGGGATGGGAGAGGGCAGAGGGGGTAGGAGGGTGGCTGAAGGCATGGTCAAAAAGATGGGTATTGAGTCATGCCTTGAAGGAGGTAAGAGAGAGATCAAGCCGAAGGGACTGTGGGATGGAGTTCCAAAGAGTGAGGGCAGAGAGGCTGAAAGGGCGGCTCGGGCAGGAGATTTAGAACAGGCTGGAGCCCGTTGAATGGAGGGAGCGGACAGATTGATAGGAGGTCAGCAGGTCAGAGAGGTAGGAGGGGCAAGGCCTTGAAAATGAGGACGAGGATTTTGAATTCCATCGTCTGAAGGTTGGAGAGCCAGTGGAGCCGGGCGAAGGTGGGGGTGATGGAGTCACAAAGCCTAGTACGGGAGACGACATGAGCTGCAGAGTTCTGGATGATCTGCAGCTTGTGGAGGGAAGAGTTGGGGAGGCCGACAAGGAAGGAGTTTCCGTAGTCGAACTTTGTGGTGACGAATGCGTGTATGAGGGTTTTGGCGGCCTGAGGGGTGAGGCAGTGGAATGTCAGAGAACTACATTGACAGTATAAAACCTAATGTGAAGTGGGGTCTCTTGGTTTTGAACAGCAATGGGATGCACCACACACATTAGCTCTATGGGTTAAAAGCTCTAACCAAACTCCAGAGTGCTAAATGCATGTAGTTGGTTCGTGGCACTTTTCTAAGTAATATTACGTAAAGGGATTTAACATGGAAAATGGCAAACTCTTGGCTCGGTAACAATGAAATGGTCTGTATGCTCCATCATCATTTTTTTTGCAGTGAGCTGGATTATTTGTCTGCTTGATTTGACAAACCAGGTTCCGTGGATACAGCTGTTAGCAGTTATATGCCATTTAATGGTGCCATGGTAACCAAAGCAAAATCGGGTTGGGGGTGCGTGCGGTGGGGGAGTGAAATGTGGCCGAGAGTGGGGGGAGTGGCATTATGCAAATGAAGTGGTCATTCAGACCCCATGTTATCTTGTTCCAGTGTAGTGCAGCACTTCCAGCACTGTTGTTGCTTAATATTAATGTGTACTGCTAGGATGTGTGATTTCCTGGGTGCCTCTGATCATTATATTGCCCCGAAACAGAAGACGCTGTATAAATACAAAGTGTATTGTACAAACAGTGAAACAGTGAATGGGGATTCATTGCAGTTTGTGGGACTGGTGTCATTATAGGGTCTACTTTGCAGTATTTCTCAATGGGATTTCTAAACAAGGAATTCAAGTCGTACGACTGGGGGCTCCTTCTAGTGACCCGAGATGCCTCATGCCAAACCTCAGGAATTCCATTCCGACTTGCTATTCTTCAGGAGTTGAGTTTCTGGGGGAAGCACGAGAATTTTAGGATTCCCGATGAGAAATGTCATGACTTAGAACCCTTTCACATCTTTAAAAGACAATTTAACCAACTCATTGGATAACTGGGTCTGGCACCCATCAATGCTCTGGTACTTCTGTCCTAATACCACTCTCATTTCTGAACTCCCATAATTAATCCACTGTCATTCTTCTGGATTTAATGAGTATGGAAAGTGAGAAAGAACGCTAGATTGGCTGCTATAGATTCGTATTCATGGAAACGTCTCTACGAGACAGATTGCTCTGAGCTCCAATTATAACATTCCTTTTAGGAAACAAAGCAAGATCATTTCAATGTCAAACCAGTGAGAGACAACAGGAACTCGGGCAGCAGTCCAGTTGGCGGAATGACTGTGTTAAAGAGAGAGAGAGAAATGTGAAGACAAAGGGAGAGGTTAGCACAGGAAAGGAAGGGGGATGGGGCAACACAGCTAGAAAGAGTTTTGTGCTGAATGCCCTCTTCTGGTTCAGCACCAGAATTCAGGGAAAATAATCTTGCAAAACAATGTGAAAACTATATGTAATACATACATAGAAGGGAGGACTCATTGGAACCCCAGATGTTTCTGCCTCTGTGGAACTTAAGTTTTCAAATGATATTTTCCCTTTGCCCACTCAGCAATCTCTGGTGCTGTATAATTTGGATGAGATCCATAATACTATTTGAAAAGAAAATAGAGTTTCTATCAGTGTCGTGGCCAACAATCCTTAAGTTTAATAGGTCTTTCACTTCTTATCAGGTGAGACAGCGTATTTTCTTCATCCAAACTAATTTTGTGATTTTGTCCATTTGTGGGACTTTTCCTGTATTCAAAGTGGCTGCCATGTTTGCTGACAAATACTGTACGTAGTCACTACACTTGACACCAATGACCTGTGAAGTGCTTTGAGATATTTCCTTTTTGCAGGAGACATATCAAACACGGGGATAATTATTAATGTTCGCTCACAAAAACACACAGTCACTCCATTTCACAGTATATTCTGTGAGGCCCTTTGAGATGTCCTCCCGACATGAAAGGTGCTATATCAAATGTAAAGATTATTATTATTGCTGCTTCTCCAAATAAGGATTCTGATGTGGAAGTGAAGCCAGGTTATGATTTCAACAACATTTCTTAATTCTGTGCATACCTACAATGTTACCAGGCATGAGATCTGATCCAGTGAATGACATGATTAATAGAGATTTGTTGCAGTCAGCCAGGTATCTGACACATGCAGAAACCCATCACCATTCTTAAGAAAATCCAAACCTTACTGAGAATTCCAGGTATGCCTTCTACACGTGGAAGTTTCCTGGTGCCTGTAATGCAATGTACACTCTCTCTCTGGTGGGACACTTAATTCTGCTCACTTAATTCTGGAGAGTATCAGGTATCCGTTTGAGGGAGTGCATTGTGCATACGTACACACACCCCATAGAACTGATATCTGCATTGTTTCAGATCCACAATGGACCAATCCCAATTTATGTAGCTATTTGGCTCTCTATAATTAAAACTGAGTAAATTATTTGAGCAAATCGTGTCTCTAAGATTTCAGATGCAAATTCTTACATTAAAGTCCCCAGATTTATCTCTAGCATGGAGAATGACATATTTCTATACCAAATAAATCTGCACATTGCAGGAAGCTCTTTATTCAGACTTTATTTAGACTGGGAGTGTTCTATTTACACGGTACGTTACTCTTTGCTCACAGCTCCAGGGCCCCCTGCTGGATAAGTGCTCTCTAACTTTGTTCTGCGCTCATCCCAAAGTTATAATTGGGAAAATGACTATTGCTTCTAATATGCCTGCTGTTTAGCTTGGACTGACAGAGCTTATACCTGCTTAATGAGTCACTGCAGGGTTGAGTTATTTTAATGCAATTTGACTTTATTATTTATGCTTCATCGGGAGACTTAGGTGTTGTGACGAGTGAGACTTGGAACTCATACTCTAGACTGATACTCCAATGCAGTACTGGAGGTGTGCTGCACTGTCAGAGGTTCTGTTCTTTGGATGAGACATTACACTGAAGTCCCACCTGCCTGTTCAGGTGGATGTTAAAGATCCCATCGCACTATTTGAAAAGAGAAGGGACTTTCTCCCAGTATCCTAGTCAACAATCCCCCAAATAAAATTGATTTAATTCATGATTACTAATGGGACATTGCTCTACACAAGTTGTCTGCCGACAAAATACACACTTCATAGTAAATCATGTGCAATGAGTATGATGTGCCTGTTAAAGTGAACATTAAAAATCCCAGGATACCATCTGAAAAGTGAAGCTTCTCTTTTTGTCCTGGCTAACAATTCCCAAGATTTTGTCACATCATGGAATTGCTGTATGCAAATACGATGCCACATTTGTCCAGAAAAATAGTCACTACACAATCTGTAAGTGTTTTGAGATGTTTTCCCATGATAAGGTGCTATAAAAAAATTGTTTTAATACTTTTTTTCGTTTATCTCCCCTATACATGCTTTTAACATCTCCCCTCTCTATTCAAAGTAATAACTCTCCACCACACCTCCCTTAGATCCCTGATCCAACTCACACCTCTGTTTTTCTTCTGTTCTCTTTTTACATTTTTCCACAATACTTCAAAACCTGCCCTCCACACAGATAGGTTAGTACGAATCAGAATTAGGTGGAGCCTGTTAGTAACAACAACAACAACAACAACAACAAAACAACAACAACAAAATTACATTTATAGAGTGCCTTTCACGTCGGGAGGACGTCCCAAAGCGCTGAACAGGTGTCGGGGCCCGAGCATGGGGGAGGGGTGGTGTAGGGGTGAGGAAAGGCAGAGAGGTGGGAGGGAGACCAAAGGCACGGTCGAAGAGAAAGGTCTTGAGACTGACCTTGAAGGAGGCAAGAGAGGAAGCAATGCGAAGGGACCATGAGATGGAGTTCCAGAGTGTGGGGCAGAGAGCAGGCCGGAGCCCGATGAATGGAGGGAGAGGGCAGGCTCGTAGGGAGTCAGCAGGTCAGAGGGGTAGGAGGGGGCAAGGCCACGGATGGCCTTAAAGGTGAAGATGAGGATCTTGACCTCGATCCTCTGGGGGATGGGGAATGATGGGTGGGAGTGATGGGGTCACGGAGCCTGGTGCGTGAGAGTACACGAGCTGCAGAGTTTTGGATGATCTGCAGCTTGTGAAGGGAAGAGTTGGGAAGGCCGATGAGGAGGGAGTTCTCATAATCAAGCCGATTACACTTCTAAAATAAGTTACAACAGCTGTGCTTCAGTTGTTTAACAAGCAAAAACGGATTGGTCAAATAGTTTTGCTTTAATAACGACAGTACCTCTTTAACATCTGCGCAGGGCAGCAGGCTTCACATTGCTTTTATCTGAATCAAGTAAATTATATTAATAATAATTAAAAATTATAATGAAATTACTTCGGTGTAAAGGTAACACTGCACCTGCTTTAAATGCTGGCCTGTTATTATAAAGCCAGTGAAGCAATGTGGACTTGATTCTGACAACTCGTGCTGCCTTGTGTGGGTGGACACTTCATTCCTGGATAGTGCAGAGCTTACAACCACAGTGAATCTCAGAGAGAGTTGTCTCCTGGTGACTATGCCTCTGCCTCTGTTCCCTTTACTGACCCCAATAATCATTGCAATAATATGCATTTATGCTGCAGCAATATGGAAAAATACGAGAAAAGCAAACAAGTCCAAGACTGAAGAGAAAGTAATATCCAAGCCTTGGGTGGATGACGATTTGAAAGATGGAACAGAGTTCAACATTCAACAGCAAGGTAAATATAAAATTCTGAACACAGATTCTACAGTCAAAACTTTAGTCATTATTATTTATGTTCTTAAGTCAGTGTGATATACACAGGTGGTAAAGTAACAGCTGTTGTTTTTGTGTGGATAGGGTACAGGTTTTCAAATTGTGAGTGGCAATTAAACACATCTTATTTTTCTTATTCCTCCTATTATTGGAGAAATATGTGATTTATCATGGCTTGGGCTTTTGAACATTGTATTTCTCCAAATACTGTATTGAAACACAATTAAGAAACAGGTATGATTGCACATAAGGGTAAAGGTTAGGTTCTGACAAACAATCCCCAGCATAAAATTAATCATTCACTTCAGGGCTGTTTGTGGACATTGCTGTGCACAAATTGGCTAGCACGTTCAAATACAAAACATATACTGTAAAACTCCTCTGAAGTGCTTTGAGATGCCTTGATGACAGGATAAGACATTATATCAAAGCCAAAGATTATTAGTATTATAAAAAATCCATTTTAAGAAAACTTGCTTTAAACTTAATGTGGTTTATTTGTTTTAAGAAGCTTGCTTACAGAATTGCATAGCTTTGAAAAGTGCTGTGTCATTATATATCTTCTTATCCCTGCACGACTTTCGTAACTGAGGTAACAGTTTTTGTAAAAGCAACAATGAGAGGATTGTTGAAGGAGTCTGGATGCCATCACCTCAGTTCTTGCCAGACTCCATTGACTCCTCGAACAGGCTTTTATAAGTCCACATTGTTCCTGGTTGGTGTGTTTGAGTCCACACTTGTATCGATATTTATATGTGTCAGCCTGGCACAGTCGTAGCACTCTGGCCTCTGTGAGTCAGAACATTGTGGGTTCAAGCTCCACTTCGGGACTTGGAATCACACAGTCCAATGCAGAGTTGGGGGTATGTTTGAAGTGTCGGAGATGCTATCCTTCAGACGAGATATTAAACCAAGGTCCTGTCTGCTTGTTCAGGTGGATGATAAAGATCCCATGGCATTATTGGAAAAGAGAAGGGAGTTTCTCCTGGTATCCTGGCCAACAACCCATCCCCCCACCCCCAATAACGTTGGTTGCTCACTCATGGCTGTTTGTGGGACATTGCTGTGCGTAAACTGGCTGCCACATTGCGCCCACAAAGTACATTTTACAGTATATCCCATGAAGCACTTCGATGACGTGATAAGCCACTTCATCAAATGTAAGGATTATTATTATTATTGTATGAAATCTTTTTTCAAGGGTAAAGCACCTAATTTGATTCAGAATTAATTCAGTTTAGTGTACACATCCAGTGTCATCACCAGTTGTGATCAGCGAGGTTTCTGGTCATGATCAGTGGTGAACAATACAGAAGCTTTGACCAGTGTGTGTGTGCTGCTATAACACTGGTTGGGATTTTATGGACCCCCAACTCCTGTCATGTAACAGGATTTCTACTCCAGATTGTGCTGGAGCAGAATTTACAGTTGATACATTTCTGGTTATCATCGTTCGTCATCGTTATCCCAGGGGCTGGAATGAATCTCGCTCATATTCCTTTTTTAGTCCCATTAGAGATCACCATGGGTTAGACCTCAACATTGTGATGTAGCTTCTGAGAAATGCAAACTCTGACTTTGTACATTGGGCTGCAGTTCCGCCGTCATTGACAAAGACATTTTATGACACGTAATTTCAATGTCTACACCCATCTGTGTAGAAAATAAAACTTGTTGCATGAAGCTGTTTCAAAGAATCTACAAATGTGTAAAAAAAAGCCTAAGAGTGCATACGAGAACGCAAGTTGTTTTTTCAAGTGTACTGAACAGTCCAAGCAGCACAGCTCTGTTACTAACTTTCAGCCCTGCTCTTCAATCTCCAGCCAGCAAGCAACTTGACGAAGAAATTACGGCTCAGCACATTCCATATTCACCGAAGCATTACTCAGAGGAAGAAATGATGCGCAGAGCTAAGAAGTTCTATGAGTTGATGAATAAAAGGAGAAGTGTTCGTTTTTTCAGTGATGAACCAGTCCCGAGGGAGGTGATTGACTATGTCATCCGAACAGCAGGTTACACCATGTCTAAAAATTATGCACAATCTGAAATGTTAAAATGATAGTCTTAAGGCTAAAACCAGGTAGAATTTCGGACTCTGCGCAAGGACAAAATCAAGCTTAAATGATGTGGAAGAGTAGAAGAATGGGATGGAATGGATAGCTGGACAACACAGCCACGAAGGACAACTTCTTTCTGTGCTGTATATTCTATGGTTTTATGAAGAAGAGAATTTTGACCAGCTGCTAGGGGTTTGGTGTTTATACTACACCCCTGCTAATTCAATTTATTATAGGGGGAATTTTGTTCTTTTACAGTGCCCTCAGTACTAAAGGAAGACATGTATACATGTCAAGGCATGTCCTCTTCCACACCAGGGAATTACTACGTAATTCTATGTAATATACAGAAGTGAGTGGCCACACTGGGGCCAATAAGAAAAATTGGGTTATATTCACTCCTAAGAAGGAATGCATTATAATAATACTTCTTATATTTGGTATAGCGTCTTTCATCTCAGGAGGTCCACAGGATATTCTGTGAAGCATTGGAACTGTATTTTGTAGGTGAATTGATGACAAAGCCACACTAGGGTCTCTTCACATTACTGAATGGAAAATTATTTAGAAGACATACTGACCTGCTAACTCACCAAAGCTTACATTAGACGCAGTTCATTCTATGCATAATTAGAGGAGGCAGCTAAGATCTCACAAAAAAAGCTTTACAGGCTATGCGCCTGTTCCAGTCAGTAACTGATCTGATCACTGTCCTTAAAGGAACATCACCCAGCGGAGCACACACAGAACCCTGGACTTTTGTGGTTGTTCAAGAACCAGAAATGAAACGCCAAGTTCGTGAAATAATTGAGGAGGAAGAAGAAATAAATTACAAAAAGAGGATGGGACAAACTTGGGTTCAGGACATCGAGAAAATGAGGTATTTGATAACAAATTATTTAAAGGGACAGGATGCTTATTGGCTGATTTATGGCCAATATCTCATTGATATCTCCAGCCTTTCACTGACTGCTCAGAAGGTTCATTGAAATGAGGTATAAATACCCTCTGTGCATCAATAAATGCCATTCACCAGCTGTTAAGGCTCTGCAACAGATATCACAATGTTCCACAAACAGTCATGAAGTGAATGGCCAATTTTATCTGGAGGATAGTTGGTCAAGACACTGGGAGGAATGCCCTTCTCTTTTCAACAGGGGATCTTTAACGTTCACCTGAACTGGCAGCAAAACCTTGGTTATATGTCTCATCCAAAGGATGGCACCACAGACAGTGCAATGCTCCCCCAGTGAGCCTCAATTTACAACTGTGAACTAAACTGTAATTCCACTGCTAATATCAATCACCCAAATGACTTTATAATCTGCGTAAAAGGGATTGCTCTGCTCTGTTATAGGACAAACTGGACAAAGGAATACTTGGAAATCGCGCCCTACCTCATCCTGATCTTTAAACAAGTTTATGGAAACTTGCCCAGTGGAAAGAAGATCCATTATTATAATGAAATTAGCGTCTCAATCTCATGCGGTATTCTCTTGGCTGCTTTACAGGTATTATCACATATTAGATCATATTCATAACGTATTCATAACATCCACTCTTGACTATGCAAACTCCCTGCTTGTTGGCCTCCCCAATTCCATCCTCCATAGGCTGCAGATCATCCAGAACTCTGCAGCTGTGTCTTCTCCCGCACCAGGCTCCGTGACCCTATCACCCCCATCCTCACCCGACTCCACTGGCTTCTTGTCACACAGAGAATACAGTTCAAGATCCTAGTCCTCACCTTCAAAGCCCTCCATGGCCTTGCTCCCCCCTACTTCTGCGAACTTCTAACCCCCTACTAACCTGCCTGCTTCCTCTGCTCAGCAGGCTCCTGCCTGCTTCATGTCCCCTGCCTCGCCCGCTCCACCATTGGTGGGTGGGCCTTCAGCCACTCTGCCACCACCATCTGGAACTCCATCCCGAAATCCCTCCGCCATGCCCCCTTCCTTGCCTCCTTGAAGATTTATCTCAAGACCCTCCTCTTTGACCGTGACTTTGGTCACCCTCAGTACAGTACAATATACTCATCAAAAGCTGGTGTTACAAGTTTAAATACCGACAGAAATGATAAGCAGTAAACACTTGTCAAGACTCACACATTAATTGTGTACTGCTTAGGGGTCGGGTGCTGGAAGGTAGTTTAAAGAGTTCTTGATGTAAATTGAGTCGTTGATACATTTTTAAGCAAAGCAAATTAAATAATCTTATGCTCAGACAGACAGGGATAGCTAGAAAGGCACAGAGAAAGACACACACACAGAGTTAGGGAGAGGGAAACACATACACAGATATAGAGTTAGTGAGAGACAGAGGGAGATGCACACACATACACACATAACAGCAAAACCTACAAAGGCGTGATATCCATATTGTTTTCATATCCACAATGGAGCTGGTTCAAGTTAGTGCGGATGTCATATCAGACGTTCTGCTATATTGCCTATTACTTTACTTGCAAGCATCAAAATAGTATAGGTGTTTCAAGAGGAGACGTGTTTTGGAAGACAGCAGAAAGATGAGCCGGTCTGAGTTAACAATGTATGTAGATAACAGGTAACTATGGATGTTTCCGATTTCCTCAGAATGTTGGCCTTGTGACCGTTACGACAACTCCCTTGAACTGTGGCCCCCGGCTGCGAGCCTTGCTGGAGCGCCCGGTCAATGAGAAACTGCTGCTGCTGCTACCAGTCGGTTTACCAGCGAAAAATGTCACTGTGCCAGACTTCCACCGCAAACCATTGACTGACATAATGGTGCTGGTGTAGCTGGACCAAGCTCCAAGACACTAACCTGCATGATGGGAGCTTTATAAATTCAACTTAATGTCAGTTTGAACTATCTGCGAGGTTTCTCCAGTGATCCCAGTGATCACTTGCCTGTCAAGAACTGTGTAGACCAAAGCTTGTCCCGATTAGCAGTTCTCTACAATGGATTGAAAATGGCTGTGTGATTTATTTTCTATGTGCTTTAAGTAGTCTTCTCTTAATGAATACTTTTGGTCAGCTCACCTTTCCTCCATCACCCGCTCTCCCTTACTTAGTGCCCAACTCCCTCGTTCTTAAGTGCTTCAAGACATAATCCTACCTGAAGGACGCTATATAAATACAATTATTGTCGCTTCAAATGATTACATTATGGAACTGGTGTCAATGTAAAGCATCAATGTAGACCTGCATCTAAACCTGGATGGATTATTAAGTGGTATAATATGTTATCTTTAATTTTTGCAAATATCAGGTGTCAGCCAGGCTCAGTTGGAAGCACTCTCACCCTCTGAACGTTTGTGGGTTCAAACTCCATGTCAAGACTTTGAGCTGACAGTCTAGATTGACACTATAATACAGAGCTGGGGAAGCTACATTGGTTGAGGTGCCGTCCTTCAGGTGAGCCATTAAACTGAGGTCCTATCTACCTGTTCAGATGGATGTTAAAATATCCCCAACAGCATTTGAAAAGAGAAGGAAGTTTCCTCTGGTGTCCTGACCAACAGTCTCCCAGATAAAATTGGTCATTCAATTAATTCCTGTTTGTGGGACACTGCTGTAAGCAACTTGGCTAACATGTTTGTCTACAACTGCTGTCACTCTACTTTACATTAAACTCTGAAGTACTTTTGATGTACAGTGGAGTCCTGTAGCTTAGTGGTTAGAGCACGCACCTCGCAAACAACAGGACCTGGGTTTGATTGCCGTTAGGGCGAAATGTTGGTCAAGTTTCCTTACTCCAGATGCTTCTGTTCATCCAGGAACCTGGTTGTTAGTCGATTGGCGGATCGCTTTTCTGGGGGTAATAATTCCTTCAATAAAGTCCAAAGAAAATAATAATAATAATTTGGTCATTCAATCCACGACTTTTGTGGGACACTGCTGTGCACAATTGGTTTCCGCGTTTCGCCCACAAATATACATTCAATTCACTTTACAGTATATTTGAAACATCTCGAAGCCATGATCAAGCACATTATCAAATGCAAGAATTATTATTGCTATATCAAATGTAAACAATAGTATTATAAATACATATTGAAAACTAGCCTAAGAAAGAATATGTAAACCTAGTTGTTCAGGCTGAATATAGGGCTTCACTTTGACATTCACATTGTTAGATTATAGACGTTGTAGTCTAATAATAATGAACATTAAACAAATGGAGAAAGTACTGAGAGTCATGGGATAGGACACATCTGGTTTTCTCTGTTTTTTGAAAGAATAACAGGACAGCTTTGGAAAACGGCAGGGGCTCACCTCTTATCAGTAAATGACAACAAGCCCACAGAGATAACGGTCCAAGGTATGGCACAGGATCTCGAATTAGCAATAAGTCGCTAGATTCTGACAGGGCCTTCCAAGCGACAGAAGGCAACCCTCAAGAATAGCAACTAATGAGCAAGTTGCTTAAACTAGAGGACCTTGGTACCATCCCAGGATACTGATAAGAAATAACCAGTCACTTAAAAGGATGTACTAATGATCCCACCTAACAAAATAACAAGCACCAGATACAGCCCTAAACTGATCAATCTCCTATCTTAGACAGGAAAAAGGGAAGACCTCGTGGAGACTCAGTCAGGCTGGCACCAAGCCAAATGATTGATTAACCTGAGTACGTGACTGTATTAAAAGTGGGTAGAGGGGCCCTAGGAAGGACAAGGCGGTTGGTCGACAAACCACCGAATAAGGCGAGGTAAAATACGAAATGATTGGATATGTAAATACGCGATGTAATGGCAAGTCAGGCGACTGACTATAAGTAGCCGATAAAGAGAAGTGGGAAGCAGTCCGGAACGGCGCCAACAGACAGTGATAGAAGATCGAAAGCCTGAATAACTGAAGCAACTAAGAAGGAACCCTGTTCCGGACTCGCAGCACTCGGTCTAGCGGCGTTGACGGTTGACTGCTGAAATAAGCGCGCTTCAATGATATTTTGGTTTGAATAAACTTAACAGATTTTACCTAAACGGAATGCTGGGTGACCTTTTTGATATCTAACAATTCCACGACAGCATTAAAAACAGAACTGAAGTAAACTGGAACCATCTGATATTTCAGCAGCCACAAAATGTGATGAATGCAGGACTATCAGAGTTTGAGGTACACTGAGCAATGAAAGCAGCTAGCACAAATAACTTGGAATATTGTCCAATTGAGATAATTCTTCCTGTTCGCAGTGAATCTCTTCTAAACTATGGAGCATATTAATAAGGTGCTATCCTGCATCATCTGAACTGAGGTGGGACCTGGACACTGCTTCTGAAAGGGTTCAATTTAAACCATTCAGTGTACTTTGGCTAGGATTAGGTGGTGACCTCTAAAAGGAGGGAAAACAGCACTTGTTTTATCAGAGTAGACTCGACAGTTGATTAATCATTAACTTTTTTCTCTTTATTGGGGGCCTTATTCTTATAGCTGTGCCAAAAAGTGATACTTTGCTGGGAACAAGTTCTAATAATAATAATAATCCTTGCATTTGATATAGCGCTTTTCACATATTATCGACGTCTCAAAGCGCTTCACAGAATATATCGTATACTGCCAAAATATACTGCAGAATATGCTGTATTGCAGCCAATTGCACACAGCAGTGTTCCACTAACAGTCATGGATTGAAAATGACCAATTTATTATTGTTTTTTTGTTTTGGAGGGATTATTATTAGGCGTGTGGAGTAAGAAAACTTGCCCAAGGTTTCGCCCTGCCTGGACTTGAACCCAGATGTCTCGCTTGCAAGGCGAGTGCTCTAACCACTGAGCTACAGGACTTGTGACCATTTCTAGCTCCAGAGACCAGGATCACCTCTGCTAAGATGGGTCTAAAGTATCTTCCTGGACCACTGGGTGGACTTTCTTAATCCCATTTAAAATTTTATCCACTTCTAGAAGATCCCCTTTAAAATGTCTCCTTTCAACATTGAAGAGCTCTAGCTTGTCTAATGATTTCTCATTCCTCTAACACTGGTTATCATCCTTGTTGCTCTTCTCTAGAGCCTGGGCAGCCCCTGATTGTCAATGGAGACCAGAACTGGATGCTGTGTTCTGTGCAGCCTGACAAGAGCTCTGTTTCGCTTGCATATGACAGGGGAATCTGAACTGAACTGACTTAGCAAAGCAGCCCAGCATCCTGTTCGTCTAAAAAGTTTGTCTTGTTATTTGTAACCTCCTAGTCAAGAATCTATTGATCAGCTAAGATCACCGGTGAAATTTGGGCTCTTGCTAAAAATGAACTTTTTATGGATGGGCACGTTGGTTGAGCCTGAGATGTCAGGAAGTGTATGCTGCCATCTCGTGGTCGTTCAATCAGGTGTAAAGTCACACAAGGAACACTTAAGAATCACAAAACTCTACTCCTGCGTTTCACAAGATAAGTTTGGATGAAGAAGGCCTTTTGGATCTCATCCCTCTGAAATATCCTACTGATCTCCAATCACAGCATCAAGCTGCTTTTTCAAGTCCCCTCCTGCTCTACCTCTGCTGACTTCTCCTTCCTCCTATCGTCCCTCAACCTCTCCCTCCACATCCACTCCGCCACCCACTTCCACGGTTACCCCCTCGACCTGGTGAACACTCGGGGCCTCACCATATCGGACCTCACCATCACTGACAAAGCCATCTCAGACCATTACTTCATCTCCCTTAACTCCTCAATCCCTCTCCCACCGCCATCCAACCCACCTCCATCTCCTACCACCCCTTGAAAAAAATCTCCCTTCCCTCCCTCTCTGCTGCCTTGGAGTCATCTGAACTCCTTTCCCTCTGGCCTTCCTACCACAATGACCGATCCTCCTCAGTCACTCTTCTCCACAACTCCATCTCCACCATTCTCGATCCCCTTGCTCCCCTCACTTCCCAAACCGTCTCCTACTCACAAAAGTCACCCTGGTACACCAGCCACCGACTCTCCCTTAAGGCACAGGTGCATACCGCTGAACGCACCTGGCTCAAATCCAACTTAATCCAACTTAACTGTTGATCGGCAGATCTGGCTGGACCTTATCAAATCTGTTTCCATGGTTCCATCCAGTTCAAGATCCTTGTCCTCACCTTCAAAGCCCCAATGGCCTTGCTCCCTACTACCTCTGCAACTTCCTAACCCCCTACTAACCTGCCTGCTCCCTCCGTTCAGCAGGCTCCGGCCTGCTTCACATTCTCTGCCTCGCCCGCCCCACCATTGGTGAGCGGACATGCAGCCACTCTGCCCCCATCCTCTGGAACTCCATCCTGCAGTCCCTCTGCCTCTCCCCCTCCCTTGCCTCCTTCAAGACCTGACTCAATACCCTCCTCTTTGACTGTGCCTTCAATCACCCTCCGTCCCCCCCTGCCCTCCAACCTCCCCAATCCCGACTCCCATTTTGGGTCCGAAACATTGATTGTCCAGCGCCTTGGGACGTCCTCTCAACGTGAAAGGAGCTATACAACTGTAATTTTGTATGTATTGTTATTGTACAGTAAATCCTGTGAAGTGCTTTGCAACTTCCTTCAGTCATGAAAGGCAACAAAAACAACAATCTTACATTTATACAGCACCTTTCACATAGGAGGATCTTCCACAGAGCCAACTCATTGCCCGAGCTGGGGATGAGGGAGCTGAGGAGAGTGAGGACCGGGAGTGGGGGGGAAGTGACCGAAAGCGGGGTCAAAAAGGAAGGTATTAAACTGAGCAATAAAGGAGGGGAGGGAAATTCAGTGTATGAAATACAAGAATTACTATTGTTGAAGGATGCTCATATTGCAACATTTAAGGCATGTCTGTCTGGCTCCCTTTTCAACAGAGGATGGCGCTGTGCTCAGCTCCTGCTTCGACTGTGAGATGAATATCCCATGATGGATCTGGTCTTTGAAATGCACTGTAGTGTCCTTGGATGACGCTGTGATTTAAAACATTATTTTACAATACAATACAAAATTACATTTGTATAGCGCCTTTCATGTCAGGAGGATATCCCAAGGCGCTGAAATTTTAATGAAAATACTGCTCATATTTGTTTCAGGACCGTGTTTACCACTTGAAAATCTTTGCGAAAAAGTATCTGAAGCGAATGTCTTCTGTTTTTTTTCCCCTCATATAAGCCATTTCCCTGGCCTCTTTTAATTGCATAGGTCACTTGCCAAAATATCAACAGAAAACGGTCATGGAGTTCATAGCTTCACATATTTGTAGCTTGTACCATCATTTTCAAATTTTCAGGCTAAAATTCTTCATGGTTTCCATTGTGCCAGTATTACATATTTGCATGGGACTGCATTCACCTATTTCCTCTTTATGTCCCATGTATTT